ACAAACATCTATCCATACCAGTAGGCTTTTGTGGCGGGTTAACAAAATCACATTGTTGTTGTAAACCAAAGAAAAAGAAATACCGGCCGGCATTTTTGCCTTAGTTTGTGTGTGGGCTAAAAAAAGAGAAAACATTTTCTTGTATAGTCAGGTAAAAACTCAGCACATTCATATGCATGTGCCTATCTCAAATATTTGTAGTTTCCAAAAAAAGAAATGCATAATGTTGCGGACTGTGATAGCCTTATCTTAAGTCTCAACTTGAACTTTTACCTCCATTGGGTAGTAGCAAAATCTGATAATTTGCAAAAATTGATTTCTATGTTATTCACCCATTGTTGCTGAGCCAACGAGATCGGCGGTTTGTTTTTAATAGCTAAAAGTATCTTAAACTTGGCATTCGTATGTCTGAGGTTTATGATGAAGATTAGATTAACCAAGAATACATAGAGTACCGGCTAGATGAAAGGGATCTACATTACGTTTCGCAAGACCACCCACTGGATTTAATTACAAAATACCTGTGCTAATAAAATTTAAACGCGCAAGAAAAAATCGGCATGTAGAAATGCATTACAAAGTTAAACTTGCGTCGATTACCCTTTGGCGGGAATGGAACGGGGATCTGTATAAGAGGGGACAGGAAGGAGTTTGGATCCTGCGATCACCCTCCTGTAGGTATGTGACTTTCATCTTCCGTTTCACATAAAATGAGCTTGACTTTGAAAGCGCCAATGGTTTGGTAGGCGAACTAAGTATTCTCTATATATTTAAGTATACCAAATGTCTGCAATAAGCACTGGCCTACAAGCCAGAGCTTCAGAATGGACTGGCAATTCATAGAAATCAGCCTTACGGCTAAGACCTAACAGCACAGATCATTGATCTATATTGATCTTTTAGATGGATGGAAGCCACTATCTCGCAAAAATTATCCTATTCCCTCGCCACTTGAATACCAATTACCCTGAGAAAGGATTTGACGATTTGAACGACAACAGTTCCCCCAATCCACACTATAACTAAATTTCCTTTCGAAAAAGTATTCATTGTATTCCATCTCGGGAAGTAGTGACCTTAAGTCGGTCAAGTAGGTTAAGAGTCATTTGCTACGTGTAGCTGTCAGGAAAATCTGAAATTCTTGCCGAGGGTAAATCTTTTTACCCAAACACCGAGAGATATAAGTTTTCCATGTTCGCCAAATACCTTTTTCGCGTTTTTCAGCGTAATACAGGGCCTAAATAACAAACTTTTATTTCATTAATTCTTAAATCTGCCATTTCCGAAATAATTGGTTGACAACAAGCTGAGTTTTGAACGATACTAAAGGTTAGCTTATACTGATTTATCGAAGTTAGACAAATGACCTGATTTTCCAATGTTATTTACGAGTTACAGATGACAGAATACAAATTTCAAGCCGTACCTTTTTCTACAAATTTTCAACCATTTCATTTCTATTTTATTCCCCTGAATGCCACAAACACCATTTATAGATTTATTCAAATGTGTGGCAACATTCCGGTATCAAAGGTAAGAGATCAACATGGTGGTCACACAGTGCAACACAACAACAATACCCCCAAAAAGGTAAGGCAACAAATTACTCTCAAAATACCACACCCCCCTTCATTCAAAAACTTAATACGTGTCCATCCGGGCTTACGTAGAACAAGCGATGCGCGAGACTATCAAAATTAAACGCCGAATAGCCGGCCCGACAATAGAAAAATTGTGAGCATCAATCCAGCAAGACATTAAAATTCCAAGATTATCATGGTTAATTTCCTCTCTCTTTTTGAAAATCTTTCAATCTATCTCAGTCAATAAAATCAAAATGAATTTTCCACGTAATCCACAATGAAAAGCTTATTCGTTTATTTTCGTTGCCACCACCATCGAACTAACAAGCTCTAACCAGCTAACGAGCCAGCCTGTTAAGGCACCAACCAGCATTTTTTGTACATATTCAGTTTTTCTTTTTATTCTTTTTGTTCATTTTGTGTTCGTATACCACCACCACACCACAATCAGCCAGCCAGTCAACCAAAAGTTCATTTCTTCCACGAAAACACGTTGCACATTTGTTATTTTTGTATCGATTTCATCTACTGTCGCAAAAAAGAAAATCCATTTCTCTTTGGCTTCAACTCAATATTAAAATGGTGATAATTTAATTGCTTTGTATTAAATTGATTCTTTTTTTTTTTGTAATACCAGCACTTCACTTGTTTCTCACTCTGCACAAATCGACGGCGTTCTTCTAACAAATTGTAATCAAACACTGAAGTTTTATTTGTTCCGTCGCCTCTTCCTTTCGAATATAAACTCGTTTCGTTTCTGTTTTACACGAACATAAACGAATGAACGAGTACAAATGATGATAAGAAAATTCATTTACAGGGTTGCCAGTGTCGTGGAAGAGGAATGTCTGATGTAGTGATGTGGCAAACAAGTAATCGTCGCAGGGCGGTTATTCTCATGTATTCGGTATCTATACTATTATTTTTTCTATTGACGTAGATTATTATTCGAGTTTGGAAAATTGGAAAAATCGACGTTGAAATTATGTGACATGGAAACATGTCAAATTTGTACCTCTATTTCGTTTTATGCGTGTATTGTGGTCACTCACTTCAAATATTTTCATTAATAGGCAAAGAAACAATCGAAAGAATTACACCATGTTCTCACTGCCATATGAATTATGTTAAGGAGAGTTGAAGGAAAATTCATGAAATACGCACAGATATAAACGGAATATATAATTAAATATTTTCTAAGATTAGTGTTATTAATTCCACAATTTTTAATGTATGTTGATGTAAAAAAATTTATATGAATTTAATGGGATCCGCTCAAAATGATTACGATCTTCAAAAATGTAATACAAATTAAATATTTTAATATTAAACCTGTCATTAAAAGGGTAAGGGTTACTCAAATTATTAAATTTGACCATTCGGATAAATTTTAACACATTTTTGATGGCATTATTGAAATCGGTATTGACTTAAAGCATTCGCTTCGAAAGGCTCTATGGGTAAATATCTTGGAATGAATATACAGGGTGAGATGAAAAAACTGAAATCAACTTCAGACTGCTGCCACTCGTCCGACAGCTGTTAAAATTATACCAGTGACAGCTCATTATATTGTTTACAAGCCTACAAAGGCATTTTGGTGGGAATTTTCCAGAAAAAGAGTTATTCGTGGTGGAATTCAAGCGTGATAGTGAGATTTCTTTATATTTAGATGAAAAGTCACAAGTGGCTATCGTTAGAGCACTCCAGCATTTAAATGTGAATAAATCTTTTGTGTTTCGTACCCTCGCTCGTTACCGTGATACTGGTAGCGTAGCCCGACGTCGGAAGTGGACGGAAGAAAACAGCAACATCAGCAGAAATAGTTGGAAAAGTAAAGAAGCGACTTGATCGAAACCCCCGTTGCAGTGCCCGAAAAATGGCTCGTGAGCTGAACATAGTGCAATATTCTATTCGGCAAATATTGAAAAATGAGCTCGGGGTAAAGCCATTGAAACTCCAAAAAGTGCAAGAACTTACACCGCAACAGAAAGAAAATAGACTCAAAAGAGCTAAAGAGTTGCTTCGCTTGGCCGAAAGTGGTGAACTGCCGAATTTGGTTTTTTCCGATGAGAACATATTTGTTGTCCAGCAGTTTGTAAACAAACAAAATGATCGTGTTTACTTGCCAAAGAGGTCAGCTGAAAATGTGCACCTGCGGTTGGCAACCACAACTCAAGCGCCGGCCATGGTAATGGTGTGGGCCGAACTAACAGCCGATGGCCGCTCTCCGCTCGTATTAATCGACCGTGGCATCAGAATAAATGCCGAATATTATCGAGAAAATATTCTGGAGGGTGTATTAAAGCCTTGGGCACGCAAATATTTTGCAACATTTCAACAGGACTCAGCACCATCGCACTCAGCACGCGCCACCCAGGAATGGATACAAAATGAGGTTCCTCGCTTCATTTCCACCGCACAATGGCCACCAAAATCTCCGGATATCAATCCGTTGGACTATTGTGACTGGAGTATTTTGGAAAGCAAGATTGACACTAAAAAATACCAAAATGTCGATCACCTCAAGCAAGCGCTTCACCGGGAATGGGCCAAAATACCACAGAGCAACATTCGGGTAGCGTGTGATGGTGTGACCGTTTGAAGGCCATAATTCGTGTCAAAGGTGACCAATTCGAACAAATTTGAATTCATTCTAAAATTTGATGCTATTTCCGACATTTTTTGCTTTCATTCAATAATATTTAAAAAAAAAATTAAAAAATAGTTGCAGCTTTTTTATCTTACCCTTTATTTGTAAACTTTGCCGGAAAAAGGTTAGTTTTTGGAGGCAGAACCAAAGAAAAACCTTACGAAGTTCAAAAAGCAAGTAGGAACGAATATAGTTTCATCAAAAGTTTCTATTAAGAATACAAACAAAAATTTGGCATGAAATTGCTAGACTGAGTAAAGACCGTTATCTCGGTAAGATCTGCCAAATATGCCTGATGTATGTTTCCGATTCAAGGAGCTAAATCTAATGTGAAGTGTTGGGTTCAATCTCTGTCCTCCTTTTTACAGGAGTGACCAAAACTTATCATTCAACCCACTAAAAGTTTTAATACATCAGATCAATTTTATGCTTACTAGTATTACCCCATTATCCTGCTTGTAACCAAACCATAATCATTCACCATACTTAAGAACTGCATCAAGTGGGAATCTTAAAACCCATAAGTGTTCATCGTAATCAAGATCTACATCGTAGAGGAATTCAAATTATAATGAAATCGATTCATCTTACTATTATCCTTTAAAGTTATTCATAAAGGTGATGTTAATGATGATTAAAGTAGTTTGCGGAATCAAACACATTCGAAAATGTTTGTCGAATAAATTGATGGCAATATTATCCAAATAACAACAAGTTGCTAACTGCTACATGAAAGTTACAAATTTTTGACGTATACTACTTACCGCAACAAGAGTTATAAGAGTATCCAAATTTGGATCACGTTTCTTGGCAGAGTCTAGTTCAGCATTTAATTGTACAGCATCTTTTAGGAAATCGTGGAAGGCTGAAGACATTGCCAATGCTGAGGCACTTTCCGATAACTCATACTCTGGAAATAATATGTAAAATGAAATCATTAAAATTGAATTATTTTTTTAATTGGTGTCTATATCAACATACCAATTTTTTGTAACAAATAAATGGTGGGCAGTAATTGTTTTTTGTAATTCATTTTCCACACCTTAAAACAGTCATCATCATTGCAGTGTAAGAGACAAGAGAGACAACCATTAGTCTCAATACTGCTCTTAGTGGGATTCTCAATGCTGCGTAGGAGTGTGAGGAAGAGGTTAGCATGTTTACTGCAATTCCTTATGAATTTTTGCTGTAAAAATAAAATTCAATACGAAACCTTAGTTTTGTGGCCTTGTCATAGAAATAAGGAACTTACCAAAAACATTTCAGAGCTTCGTATTAAAGATTGTTGGCAATCACGAGGTATACTAGGATAGTTGGCTTTTAGTGCATTATAAATTTCAAAGAATTCATTTTGATTCAATTGAAGTCTGGAATAATAAATAGATTACGAGTTAAGAAAAATAGATACGAATGACAGAAAAGAATGTGACCTTACCTTTGATCTGTGGCTACATTTAATACCTTTTCAATGTATTCCGTAACAAAGCGTGAGTAACTTTTCATCTCTAAATTTGGAAGCATTAAGTTTTGCCAAACTAAAAAAAGAAAAGGGCAATGCTATTACTTTCTAATGTAAGTTGGGCAACTTTTCTTACTTACCTCTTATGCCAACCATCAAGTTTTCATAACCACCTTGTCCTATGGCCCACAATATGCTTAAGCATATATTACTACGGTTTTGATAGGAATGTTTTAACATTGCTGTACTGGCCATATTTGAGGAACAAATTTGGGGCCAATTTCTAGCTATTAATTGTAACATAAACTAAAAAACAAACAACAAAAATTATATGCAGTTACAAACCATAAATTTGATTTCTGTTAAATGATATGGATTTTGTTTCGAATCTATCACTTTTTAGATACTTGCCTTGTACCCTACAACAGGTAAATTGTTATTTAAATCAGTACACATACTCTCCAAAAGAGTATAATGGAAAAAGTAATTAAGATTCTCTTCACCCTCCGATGACAAAAAGTCTAATAAAGTTTGTTTAAATTCGGACGAAGCCAAATTTCCCGGATATGATGCAGAGCGTCCAGAAAAAACAGGATCACATTCAAATTGTAAATTTGAATTGATATAACTGGTAATCTGGAAATGGAAACTCTTTATTAGAAGAAAATTGTGTGCAATTCAAAATGCTTACCGCTTTCAGCCAAGTCAATTTTGCACCAGGATATAACAATTGGAAATGTTCTAATTGGGTGGTAAAATCTCTTGGCGTTAATGCTTTAAAAGCTTGGTCCAAACTTTTGGGTTTAGGTGGTTGTTTGGGATGGTCCGATTTGGGCTTCTTTGTTTCATTTTGTTCTTTACTCTTTGTGACCGATCTCTTGGGTGTGGAAGTTTTCGATTTCGAACTTGTATTTGACTTCGAAGGAGAGACATCTTTGCTGCCAGCCTTCCCACGCTCATTGAGCAATTTCCGAATTTGATGAGAGGGTACTTGAAATTATATCATAAAGGAAATTTCATTATCAATAATAAACCTATTTGTATATTCGAAAGGAACGCTGGTGTTTAATGTAGGCATAACGGCTAGTAGAAAACATTGTAATTTTTAATTTTAGAGTAGAGTTTTGCAATTTTAACTTCAACTTTGGAATTTAAATAATAGATCGTAACCTTTGTCTGCAACTCACATTAGTACAAATGTAATCGTTACTATCTTGTGAATCTTATCAAGTCTACCTTTGTTAAAACTAGTGCTGATGTGGCAATTTACAGTGACCGAGTAAGCATTGTAGATTATATAGCTGACAATAATTTGGTCATAAAATTATTGTAGGGCGTTGAAATACCCTTTTCGCTTTTTCGTTTCAAAATTTGATTAAAGTAACGATATTGATAACAAAAACAAATTGAAAAATGCCGGCTGATTAGCATAAACTCGTTTGTTGGACGCCGCTGAAGTTTATCAGCTACGACATTGACTTGACACAATAAACAATTTTGTTGTCCAATTTTTGCAATAAAGCTCACTTAATACTTTGCATTTATAAAAGACAAACGAGAGTTTCCTATTCTGTAGAACACCATTTGTGTCATTGCAAATTGCATACGTACATATTTCATCTAATTTCGGTTTTAGTGCTTCTTCACGTTTCTTTTCCTTGTGAGCCACAACCTTTTTCTCGAGATTTTTAAACTTTTTGGACTTCGTTACTGTTTCCCATTGACCATTATTGTTGTTTGACATCTTCGAAGGAGAATGGAAAGTGTTGTTATGGAATGCAATTGAAATGTATGTGAAAAAACTTAAAAAAATGCACTTGACTAATTGACAGTCAGGAATTAATTATGACCGGTGTTGATGACAAACAATCGATGGCAATATCGATACGTTAATTTTAAGGGCGAGTATCGATTGATAGTTTTTTTCTATCGATATGTATTATCGAACGAAATGCCAATCTAACACCAGGTTCTCATTGAAATGTAAACTATGTTCTTTCTTATCAAAAATACTTACACGAAATAAAATGTTTGAGCGATAGGATTCGTAATTCATGGAAAAATGAATAGGGAACGAATAATAAGTGGGAAATGTACCGAGAAAATGGCATATAATAAAGTTTAGTTCACATGACACGTGATTCGCTCTATATTCGTTGTTCGACCATTAATTATGCATATGATTTTTTCTATTCAAATCACTCGCAGAACAAATGAGATCATTTATTGAAAAAATAAATTATGACATTTCAAAATAGAAAAATGTCCATCCGTCTGTGGATATTACGCTAGCTTCCGAAAGAAATGAAGCAGGTTGATAAAATTTTACTCAAATGTAATGTCTGCAGGACTTTTGGTATTGAAAACGGGCCGTGTAGGTCCACGTTTTGGTATAGTACCTCCCTATTTTCGGTATTTTGATGATTTAGGCGACCATAATCACCGGAATCGTTTCAATTTTGGCATTTGAAGTTCGTAATGGATACTAAGACAGAAAATTGTTTGTGCAGGTCCTCGTCTTCGTATAGCCCCCATATAACGATATTCGGTATTTTGATGATTTTAGCGACATTATTCACCGGAATTGTTTCAAATTTGGTATTTGAAGTTCGTAATTGATAGTACAGCCTATGACAAAAAATTTAATGCCATCTGGGGCTGGATTCTTGTTCTATGAAAATGTATTGAAAATGGGCCATGTAGGTCCACGTTTTGGTATAGCCAATATATGATGGTATTTCCCTATATTCGGCATTTTGGTGATTTAAGCGACATTATTCACCGGAATTGTTATAAATTTGGTATTTGAAGTTCGTAATGGATACTACAGCCTAAGACAGAAAATGGTCTGTCTGAGGACCTACCTCGTCTTCGTATAGTCCCCATTACAAAAGTTGTCTATGCAGGCTCACGTCGTCGTATAGACCGTAATATAAAGGCTTCATTTGGTATTTTTAAGATTCTAACAGAATTTTTAACGGATTTTATTTTTTGATAAGTGCCAAATTCGGCCGAACTTACAGTTTTTTTACATGTCTCTTTATAATATCGAAATAAATTACAAAACTAGTAGATTCTTGTAGGTCCTGGAATCTCATCACACATGTGTTCTTCTTTCAACTTAATCCTAGTTTGGTAAAGAATATTAAGATATGCACAAGAAGTAGATTCTTGCAGCTACTGAAACAGAGCATATGACAGATCAAAAATCACTGTTAACAGTGTCCAATATACAGATTTAACTCGAATATTCAATCCGAATTTTTCTTACTGTAGTCAAACTGAAAAGATAATTGAAAAAGGAAAAATTAGGAATATTAAGCAAAATATAAAATATTTTATAATGCAAACTTACTTTTTCCAATTCCTAATGTGCATAAATATTACCCATGGTGATTTCTTCTAAACACTATCTTTATTACTATTAAGAAAATAATTTATTATAAGCCTCTATGTTGCAAACTTTAGAGATGATTTCATGTGTTTTCATATTTTTTTTTTTTATTTTATAAAATATTATTTAAATATAAACATTAAGTATACGTTTAAGATATTTTTTTATTGCATTAAAGACAGCGATTTATAAAACAAACTAGTTTATTATATACTATATTTCTATATACAATTAATATAAATGTTGCTATCTATTCATAGCATTGGTATATCTTCAACGGTAAATCCATCACGTTTCAAACAAATGCATAGTAAAATGTAACCATAATAACCACCTGGGATGAACATTAATATTCCCAATATGAGTAGAGGCCATGCTCGATCAGCATACTTTTCACTTATATATCCACTGGAAACTAAAATACTGCATGTTAAACAAGTCTAAAATAAAAGAAAAAAGAATTTAGTTGTTTAATTAAACATTTTAAATTTCATTAATTTACTTTGTTATAAAGGTGTTTTCAGTACAAGTGTTAAAAATAAATTACTTTATGCGCTCAAAACAAGGACATATACCCGTTATTAAACAAGTAGCCGCAGTCATTTCAGTTCAACAACATCCATTGCATTCATCTTTGTTTTTTTACAATGGCATGTAACGATAAATTAATTACTTTAGTGCTTGGTTTTGGCACATGCATGCTCTATATCAGATAAATATAAATTTTGGATGTTCGGATGTAAGGAAATCAGAATATACATTTTTCCTTTTTTCCATGCAATACAATTCACAAGAAACCTAAATAGTAAAAACTCTTCGATTTTTTCGAAATTTTGTCAAGTGGTAGATATTTTTACCCTTATTCCGGGAAACTATTTTTTCTGGGCGGACGGACCCGAAACCCCGGATTTCGGATTGAAGAGTTTTTGCTAATTTTTTTTGCTAAATTGTAAACAAAATTTACAATTTATTACGGACCAACCTAGTATACACTGTACACAAATGTTGTATATTTCTGTAGGAACTTTTTTTTAGCTTGAACAAGCTAACGTTTATGGTGACTAGAAGGCAAACCACACAGAACTCTAAAAATGGTACTTACAGCTCCAGCTATAAAAAAGAATATGATAAATAAAACTGTTTTCCATGGAAATTTCCTTTCAGGCTTAACGAATTGTTCGTCCACAAATCCATCGGGGGCATCGTACTCCCTATCCTGAGTGTCTTCGGATTCGAGGGGCGTATATGATGAATTGATTGCACGACGTCGAGACATATTTTTGTGTGTTACTGCACTTTAAAAATATTAAATATATATGAGATGTTACTCTTTCGTCCCATTTATTTTATTAGCCGGCCATTTGCTCTTTGTTTATTACTTGAGTGTGTCGTTCATTTAGTTCAATGAAATATTTCGTGAAAGGAACTATCGGAACTTGAACAACATTTTTGATTCGGCTGAATGTATTATGTAGCGCTTAGACTTGTGTCGTTCAAAATATTTTGAGTGTTATACTACGTTTAATACACTTGCATGTTCCAGAACCTGAAAGAATGGAAAAAGGTTATTACAATAACCGATTTTTCGTTATGATATCCAAAAACGTCAACAACAGTCGCTGGCAACTGTAAATATTTGTTATTAACTCTCACAAAAAGAGTTACAAATGAAAGTGAACGGAGAAATAGTCACGCTTAGCTAAAACGTCACAAGAATGTCAACAACAATTACTCTACCAATGGCTCAATAAGAAATGTTGCTCAACTTCGAAGAAACAAGGAAAATGCAACTTTTTACCGGAGTCTTATAGTGTCAAATATAAGTTGTGTTCCAGTACTTTTTTAGTAGTAAAACTAGCAGAAGAGAGAACAGTTCGAAATGTCATTCTCAATAAGGTGTGCTCAAAAAATAAGGGAACGGAAAATTAGCAGAAATGCGATAAAATGTCAAAATTCAAAATTCCAAGAGTAAACAGTCCAAATCGGACTGGTGAAACCTTACTGAAACGGACGCCAAAATTTAAAAAAATTAGTATTGAAGACGATACGTTAAAATTAATAATCTATAATAATAATTAATAATCTGCTTCATCATTCAGCCAGTCCTCTTCACTACTGGAATCATCCAAAAGTGCTCCATATTTTCTCTTTTTGTTTTTTTGCACTACAAATATTAGTTTTTCCTTTAGTTGATCATTTCTTTATTTTTGTTATGACGCGGGAACATTGAAATGTATCAATACATTTTTCAACCTTGTTAGCCCTGCCAATTAAATGTCAAATTCACAATTTGCACATTTCTGCTCGGCCAAATTCATGTAGCTAAAACAAGCAGAAATGTGCACCACTCAGCGCCATTTTTTTCTCGAGAGAGCTGCAAGTTTTGCTAGTTTTTGCAGTACGGGAACGCGTTGTAGCAGAATTAGTACTAATTAGTACTAATTTGTAGGTTCTGGAACACAACTATATTCTTAAACATACAACCATTGATTTTGCTTATTTTACTTTTTTCACAAAATTACTATATTAGGGAAAACCCACAAAATAATAACGAAATATTGGGCTTTCCCCACAAAATTGAATCCAAGATATTGTCCCTCAATCTGTTCCTCGTTGTTTCATCCCAAACGAATACATTTGGTGCCCGATAACGAGGAAAATATGAACTTTTGTCGCATCTAATTTTGAAATAATTTCTAACTATTCTCTTTTTAATTCAAAACAATACATACACACCTACAACTGTGTATATGTTTTGACAGAATAAGGACACCAAAAGAACAAATTGTACCATGACTCTACCTATTTAGCTTATGGAAATACGATTAAAAATATATGTTCTGTTCCAGAACCTGTAACTTGTTTTTGCTCCTTTCCAGTATCTGCAAGAATCTACAAATTTTGCTATTTTCTTCGATTTCATAAAGGAAGAGATCAGTTGTTTTCATAAAAGATATATTTTACTCAGTAAGAAGTTACATTTACTCAGTAAGAAGTTACTGAGAAAAAAACAAGATTCTCTCTCTTTCTCTCGTGAAAAAAAATTGCAAGAAGTGAAAGAACAGCGTGTTGCAAACAATTTGTAAGATAACAGCTGATTCATTAAAACAACTTTGGCGCAAATCTTAATAGCAAAAATTGTTTGATGCAGTTTACTTTTTGATTACAGAAAAAAAAAAAAAATAAATAAATAAAATAAATGCAATTAATAATAATAAAAAACATAAACCATTTCCATGCAAAAAGATACCGTCTCCAACAAATACCTATTATTCCTGCATCTTGAATTGATTTTTAGCAGGATTTGACACATAAATAAATAAAATAGCTCATCATCGGCTCTTGAATTGTTTGTTTTCCATCATTACTTACATTTTCCTTATCCATTTTTCTTGATAAATTTAATAACTTTTTCCATGGTACAATTACCAAGGTAATCTCATGCTTTCATACCATTACAATTTTTTTGTATTATGTCCCTTTATTTTCAAATTTATATTTTGTTCTTCCTTAAATATGGGCGTACAGTTGGCAAGTGTTTTGAATTTATTCCGACCAAATATTCTTTTATTTTCACGCTTTTAAAGGTTATAAAAGTCAAGGAAGAATATATCTAAAACAGAAAACTAAATTATTAGTCTGATAAATCATGTATGACTTAATTATGGAATGGTTGAATTTTTTCGCCAAGGGCAAGTATAAAGACAGTATTACGTCTTTTTTGCTGCAATGCTGATAAAAGATTGTCATCCTAATATTCAGTCGAATTGTCATTAAATTCATTACAGGAAATTGTTAGCGTAAGTTTTATGTTTAGTACAGAATCCATATAACAGGAATTGTGAAGTTTTTGCCAACATTTTTCCGCTAGTAATTCTGAGGTTTTTATCCTTAATAGCGGATTTAAAATAAAATGTCATTCGAACCCTATACAAGAACTAACATCACCGATAAAGTTTCCTAAAGATGAAGGGTTTAATCTTCATATTTAAAAGTTTAAGCCCAAGAATAGATAAATACATATGGTCTGCGATTATTTATTAATTTTGTAAAGTCTGACACATAACGAGTGCGAGTGATGTAAATTTTTTAGATATGAAAAAAAAATTTATTTGAAGAATGACAAGGTCGACTTCGTCAGAAAAGGGTTGTCATATTAAATTTAGCAAATGAGTCTACCCCTATTGTTTTGCTATTTACTTCAATTGGTTAAATTTGTTTGTTTACAAAACAACTGATTTGTAAACAGTTTATATTAATGGATGGGTCTCAGTAAGAATTTGCACACACTCAGTAACTCATATGTCAACATGTCTCTAATTTCGCACTCACTTAAAGGACTTTTGGGTAAACGAACAGCTTCCAGTAAAAACCTGTACAAATTATCGAGTAAACGAACACTCCTATAACTTTGAAACATCAGTAGTGGAACTCTCTAAAGGTGTAAGTACAGAAGAAGCTTGAAGTCATGGCTACGCAATATTTTGTGACATTTCATAAAGGGATTACAGAGCCGCATTAAAATCCTGCCGTCGTTTTCCATTATAATATGACATTAGTTGTGTTCCAGAACCTGCAAATTAGTACTAATTAGCACTAATTCTGCTACAACGTGTTCCCGTACTCCAAAAACTAGCAAAACTTGTAGCTCTCTCGAGAAAAAAATGGCGCTGAGTGGTGCACATTTCTGCTTGTTTTAGCTACATGAATTTGGCCGAGCAGAAATGTGCATATTGTAAATTTGACATTTAATTGGCAGGGCTAACAAGGTTGAAAAATGTACTGATACATTTCAATAAAGAAAATGATCAACTTGAAAGCTAAAGGAAAAACTAATATTTGTCGTGCAAAAAACAAAAAGAGAAAATATGGAGCAACTGATGTATTCACTTTTGGATGATTCCAGCAGTGAAGAGGACTGGCTGAATGAGGAATCAGATTATTAATTATTATTATAAATTATTTATTTTAACTTATCGTCTTCAATACTCCTTTTTTAAATGTTGGCGCTCTTTTCAGTAAGGTTTCACCAGTCCGATTTAGGCTGTTTACCTTTGGAATTTTGAATTTTGACATTTTATCGCATTTCTGCTAATTTTCTGTTCCCTTATTTTTTGAGCAAACCTAAATTAGAATGACATTACGAACTGTTCTCTCTTCTGCTAGTTTTACTACTAAAAAAGTACTGGAACACAACTATTAATAGCCTAGCTTCAAGCTTTTTGTGTACTTGTACCTTAACACTTTTGCCATTACCCACAAAAGTCGGTAACTATCGGACATAACATTTTCATGTAAAAAAGAAATGAAAGCTCACAATATCACATATAGTAGATTCTTGCAGGTTCTTATATTTTATTCTTATATTTGGTTTGTTCCAGAACCTGCAAGAATATACTAATTTTGCAATTTTCTTCGATATCATAAAGCGAAAATCGGTTATCATAGTAAAAAATTTTAGATTCTTGCATTTCTGGATCATACTAATTATTGTTCTGTTTCAGAACTACAAGAATGTAAAACTTTTTACTACGATAACCGATTTTTCCTTTTTGATATCGAAAAAAAATAAACTAGTAGATTCTTGCAGGTTCTGGCATGGTGCAATAAAAGGTAAGGTGGAGCTACCAGCTGATTATGATGTTTTTTTCTAAGTGTGCCCGACTTCTGCCAATTTTGTGTATGTATTTATTGTTCTGAAGAATAGAAACAAAATATTTTCAAAATCAATGATTGGAAGACGTGTAAATTGCGGGACGCGCATTGAAGTTATTCGCCAGTTTTGCCATGTAATTGAAAGATCGAACTTTTTCGATCATATCAAGCATTTCATTAATTTTTCGCACTGTTTAACTGATTTTAAAAAATGAGGAAAATAATAAATAAATGAAAACGACTTGGTTGCATGTAAATTTGACAGAATGCGGGCATAGCCTCAGGGCTGTATTTCTATAGTTTTACGAAGCTGTTCTACCCAACTGTTTTCATTTATTTGATATTTTGTGTTCACTTTTAAAATGAGTCAAATATCGCGAAAGATGAATGAAATTCCTGATATGATCCTAAGTGTTCAATCTTTCAATTCCGTGGCAAATCTGGTTAATATCATTAGTGCGCGCCCGCAGTTTAAGTTTCTTCCAATCATTGACTTTGAAAAGATTTTGTCTTTGTTTTTCAAAACAACAAACACATACACAAAATTGGCAGAAGTCGGGCACACTCAGAAAAAAATTGTAATCAGCTGGGAGCTCTACCTTACCTTTTTATTGTACCATGGTTCTACCTCCTTATTGTATCATGGGTTCTGGAACAGAGCATATATTAAAAAAAAACAAGTTTAATTCATTCGTTTGGTTTTAAAATATCCTGAAAATATTGCATATTTTCAGTTGTATGCAAATCCATCGCTTCATCGTCTA